GAGAAGCGCAGATCCAGCAAAAATGTAATAGAATGTCCAAGAAGAATTATCCTGTAGAAGTACGGGATGAGGAACGTATCTTTGAGGCTATTGGCCCAAGATTTAAGGCCATAGAATGCTTCGTGTTGGAATTATGTGACTACATTGATTTCCAGAATGCTTCCCAAGAGTTGCGGATTGTATTTGACATGAATTTTTTCCCAACAAATCCTTCCGGGTTCCCTTAGTCTTCCGGGTGGACAGTGAAATTTGTCACGTCTGCGTGAAATCTCTTTCTTTAGAGACCTCATTTAGTCATATAAAGATTGGTTGCGGACGAGAACCCATCTATACTACTGAATTAATACGGAAGAGGAGTGCAGTTTAAGAGGCGAGAGGGAAGTGTGCGCACCTGGATTTCGGGCAGCGAGTCGTCGTCGGGGCGGAAGAGGCGAGGGCGGCGCACGCGGCTGCGGTTGCGGCTGCGACCCTCAGCGCCGCCCGCCTGCGCGCGTCACTCGTTTTGATTGATTTGGGATACCTGGCGCGACCACTGCTGAGGTCATTAGTCTCATAAGTGTAAGCCGTGTTTTATCACGGGAGGTCGCGTTGATCTTCCCCTCGAAGAATGGTGAGATACGGGTCTGACGTACCGTCAGCTAGCGAAGTTTTCCCTAACCAGGTATCTCCCACTAGTGGGGCGCCGCCCCAGCCGGGACAATCCCTAAACTCCCTACTGGTACCAGGTATGTGTGGTAGAGTGGTGCACGTTAGAGTACGTTTGTGTCTAAGGGATGAGGATAGGACAAGGAAGAGGATGGAAAGATCGCGCGCGGTCCGTGACTTGTTTGTTCGGGTACTGTTTCGGCATGCGCCTGATGTGGATTGGAGAAACCACGGAAAACTACCGATCAGAGCAGCGTGTTTTGAAAATAAAATCAATTTATAATGTAACTTTGCTCGGTAATTACAATAATAAAATGCAGGAAACGTAAATATTTCATAATAATATGATAAACTTGCGAAGTTGCAAACAAAAGGACAGTTCTGGTTAGGCAAACCATTTCATATATCATTAGTGTATTTTCGCCAATAATAATTGAGAATGTCTCGTCCATACAATTGAGAACTTTTACTTCTCCCCGTTTCTCCATACGTCACATACAGATCCCCTCCCTACAAATATGTCAGAAACTCACGAAACATTCAAACAGAAATATGTTCGTATAATTAAAACGAATAAAACCGTACCACAGCAAGAGTTACATTTAAGTCTTCTCTTTTTGTTATATATATATATATATATATATATATATATATATATATAATATATATAAAATCCCAATCATCTCTAGATTCGCCCCTGGTCAAAAAATGCTCTCTCCTCGCACTGGCACTCACCCGCCCTCTTCCGAATGCCGGCGCCATTGCCCATGGCTCCGCCCCCCTGCTCGCGCGCCGCTTCCATGCGACGCTATGACCGACCGTTCCCATCCACATTGTTGAGGGTTCCTTAAGTTTTAACAATTTTTACACTATTATCCTAATGAAGTCTTCAAATAAAATGTTTTCAATTATCTGATGCTAATTTTGTCAAATTTTTATTTCATAAATATTATTGCGCATGATTTTTTAAAATTTTGTGCTACTTACAATTTCTAAGCTAAAGTCCATACATGCCATATATATTTACGAAAGATATATACATACATGTATATAACCAATCCAAGGAAAGCGATGTTATTTTCTTTTTCAAAGAATATTACACAATCATTGGACTATTGTGGGTTCTCCGACATATAGAAACTGTGGATTCCGCTAGTTCTTGATCCCTAAAATCTAAATGCATAGTAGAAGTTTTTGAACCGTAGAATATTAGTTTTGATTTCAAACGTTGACCCACCAACCTCTCAGCTACGGCCCAAATCACGACTCTTCCTGTTTGGTGTGTACGCTCTCGCATTCGTAAAGAGTAATGTTGCAAAGATTTCATATTGAAATTTTGACAGTAATAAACATTTCTTAGATTACTAATATCGAATCTTTTGTATTTCAAATGTAAAAATTGTAGATCTGTCTGTTTGTCCGTCCGTCCGTCTTTCCACTCGTGTCCCAGTTAGTCTGCCTGTCTGTTTGTCCGTCGGTGTCCCCGCCAGTCTGTTTGACCGTCGGTGTCCCCGCCAGTCTGTTTGACCGTCCGTGTCCCCGTATCCTACACCTTCAATATTCTAGCTAGACATTTATTTTTAATAGAATATATTTCCCAAAATTAAGTCTTTAAACCATTTCATGTTCAGTTTTATCAAAATAATAGTGGTTTTCGCGTGATATTCAGTTTGAGCAACCTTCACATATTTTTCGAACTTAAGCTGTAATTTCAAAATTGAAGCTAGGTATTACTTTCTTGACCATACAACTGCACACATTAATTTTAACAAAAACTGCACACTGGACATCAAAGAATTTTTTGTTACAAATGATTCAGAACATTTTGTACGATTCAAAACTGCCATTGAAATTTATTTTCATAAAAAATGCACGAAAGAAAGATGAAAAAACACAAAAATGGAAAATTAAAAAGTAAAATTTATCATACTTTTTAACTTTCCATCTCTCTTCAGATTTTAGCAGTACAATACTTTGAAATCACGCAACAATAAGGTGGAACAAAAATGTGAATTTTCATTGTCACATCGGAAAAGCATTATAGGAAGAATAGTATTTTTATGTTATTTCTTTGCAGAACAATCAGAAACTACACGCCGGATTCCAATAGACCCTAGTTGCACAACCAATGAATTAACTTAGATTCTCTCGATTCTATTGGCGCCAATTGAGATAGTAAGTAACATGACTAAAGCTAACGGTAGAATTCAAATTTATGTAGAGCGCAATGCAGCTGTTGTCAGAAAGTTTTACTCGGGGTGAATTTGAAAAGGTGGGGTCATGTAGATACCAGAGTGCAGTTCTAGGGTTCATGCAATCTAATTCTCAATTTTTCAATTACATCATTTGAAGCATTACGGGGAAGATTGGGATAAACCAGATGTTTGTTTTTGCTCTGACAAAAATTACAAAGTTTTTGTAAATTCAGACATTTCTGAGGGGATCGAACATTAATTACGAAACATACAGAGGGGGATTTGAGGCAGCGTTAGGGTGTTGGGGGTGTTAGTTCAGTGTTAAGTACTGCTGATATTTGTTTTAAATTTTCAATATATAAAAACAATAATTTAAAAAAAACCTTTTATCCAATCTTATCTAAACAACGAATCATAACAATATTAAATAATGCAAAAATATGTAAATGTATTAAAATATTTATAAATTGCAATATTAATTTTATTTTTTCTAAACTAATCTATAGACATAGTATATTCTAGATCCTCTATGGCGTGTGTTCGACATAGCGTTTCCAACAATGTTCATGTAAAAGCGAGGACACTCGGTATGCAAACAAAACAAAAAAAGCACTAACACATTTATTTTTATAAATATTTAACTTAGACTAACATCAGTACTATTTCCTTCTTTATATTTGCAGTTCAAATGAAAAAAAAAATAGTTGACAAAATGCAGATGAAGCATCTCTTTTTTATTTTAGTTACAATACAAAAATACCATCATGCATGCGTGCGTCAATGTTCAGAAAAGCGTATATTCATATTTTCTACTCAAATTTAAAAAAAACGCAGACCGTAGCGTATGTTAGTCATTACGATAAAATAAATGACAACAGATGTTAAAAATTTTCTATAAGAGGACTTTTAAAATACAAAGGGGACGAGAGGACAATTGACGTCAACGATGGACTGTCCTACCGAATGGACGACGGTTGGCAACCCTACCGACTTCTTGACACAAATTTTCTCGCCTAGGCATCCTTCCTTCCTTCCCTAAAAACAATTCTCACCACTCTTTCGAATATTGCAATTCATTAATTATTATAAAATTAACAACATACGTTAATATTATGCGTTATGTAATTATTTATGAGAGTCAAGCTTGCGTTACAGGGGGAAGATATTTTCCAAAAGACTCCAAATAGTCGGGACGTAATAATTTGTAAAACACGTCTTACCTTCAAATCTAGTAAAGGACAGTGATAAAATGTAACATACAAACTACTAATACGTTACAATATAACAATAGAGTAGAATGCAATGCGCTGTTGCCAAGTTAGTGATTTATACCTCTAATTTACTTCATTCGACTTTAATGGTAAATGTCATATGACGCGTTAATACGTTTCTTTATAATACTTTTAAGAAAACCTTTAATATTTTATACTAATAATATAAACGATCAATGAAACTAAATAAACTGCTTTGTTTTCTAGTGCATGCCTGATCTCAAAATGGCCTGAAATAAAGAATAAAGTAATTGTTTACAATCGAATTTTCCCAGCAACGAATACTCTTTCACTCCTCGAAAAGAGAATTTTACAGTAATGAATACTAGTATTTTAACGTGTTAGAGTGGTTATTTTATTGTTTCTTGACCTTAATAAAACATACTGAGTTTTTATTACAATTTATTTCATGTTGTATAATTAACGTTTCAAACCGATTTGGGGTCTTTTTTAAAAACATGGGCAGTGGGTTGTTTCTTGAAGAAAAACACCAAATAGGGTCGAAACGTTAATAATATAAGAATAAATAAATAGTTATAAAAACTCGCTGTCTTGTTTTATTAAGGTCAAGTAACTTACAATAAAAGTATCGTACAGAAAAGTTCTCTTCAAGTACAAAATTACCAACCAATTAAAATATTTTTATAATTTTGTTTTGATCAAATAACTGTGTTCCGGAAACATTTTGAAATAAAATGTTTGTGATCATTATTTGCAAATTTTTGAAAAATACAGATTTATTAAGGAAACAAATCTTGAGGGAAGGAACAAATGTCATTAAATGATCATATATTTTCATATACTCATAACCGTTTTATATTAGATGAACATTGGAACTTACATTAGATGAACGGTAAAAGCATTATTTTTATTTTAGTGGTTTTTGCAGCGCCATTCGGGGGAAATGTTCGCGGCTACCTGGCAACACTGACGCAGTTATAACAAGTATTATAAGAAGACACAGTAGCAAATTGCCGGAAATAACAACACCAATCGTTTATTATTTTTTTACGAAAAAGAAGAGTGATCCACATATATTGTGTATTTGTGTCACCAAAGAAACAAGAAATATAATATGAACATTTTTGGAGGGAAAATAATTTATATGGGAGTGCTGGAAATACTTGGAACATGGCTCTCTCAGTACGGTGAATCAGGCACTGCGCTGCGGATGAAATGTGGTATTTCGCAAGTGGCAACGATGTTCTTCGTGGTGTGGTGTTTTGTATTAAGTTGTATTTATTGTGTGCTGTGTCTGATTGAGTTTGCGAGGCAACAGGAGGAACGTCTATCAAGTGCTGGTGTAGTTTGTACAATTTCAATAACAGCAAGAAGCATTTTCGTAGAACATGTAGAAAGTTTAAAATGTCGGTGGCTGTTTTCTAGCTCTGCGAAATAAACGCCAAAATAAATTTTGAGCGGATTGGCTAGAAATTATGAGTGCAATGGCAGCTAAGGAGGTTCATTCCCTGTCGTCTAATGGTGTGACAAAGAGCAACGGTACCATGGAGCTGAGTCGGTGCGAGGCAAGTGTTTACTAGAACGTAATAAATATAAATTGAAATTGACCACATATTCCCTAACATTTTAATGCTCTTTGATAATTTACTATGTGCTAATTAGCTTATTTTGCATGAGACCATCCGGGGTAGCAAACCTGTTTTCCGAAGCCTAAGATTTACATGAGCTGTCTAAAATTAATTGAAGTGCAAAACCATATTCAAATTCTTTAATTTCTTAACTAACGCCATGTTCGGAGTGCTTCCAAACGAAACAATCTATTACATAGTTTGGCACGTTTTATATTATGTTGCCGCATTAATGTACGATACTTAGTAATGGTCTAAACAAGTATTCATGTACATTTCAAAAATTAAATATTAGAACTAATTATTAGCTATATTAGCACTAATTGTTAAAGAAACGTTCATGACACTGCGACTGCAATTCTAATTTTAAAATCACTACAATAATTTTTATATTGCCTTCAATTAATCACTCACTTATTATAAATCATTATTAGATTAGGAATAATATTCAAATTATGTATGAACTCGAAAGTATCTGAACATTAATTAAATATTAAATAGTTCAAACCATACACTTTGAGAAAAATACCAATCAACTAAGTGATTCTTGTATAAAAAACCCACCTTGCTAGTCAGATGTAATATTTTCAAATTGATTTGAAAACATTATGTAAAGCCCATTTTGTGTATATAATTCTTTTGTCTATTAATTTCTTTATTTCAAGTTATTTTAATTTTCATTATGTATAGTTTGTTTTACTTCCATCATTTTAAAAAATCATCTTCCCTATCACCAGAAGTTGGTTCTCGTAAAATATTTTCTTGCTCTCGACTAACTTCTACGTATTCTAAAAAGTTTAAAACATGTATACCACACCAAGAAAAACTTCAACATAAATTAATGAAGTTGGAAATTTAATTACGTCCAAAAAATTACTTTGTGCGCAGTAGTACTAAGTGTAAAATAGTGAATGCGTCTTTATTTTTATAAATAAATGAGAACAAATAGGTTGTGATTGAAATGGAATCAGAAATTACAGTAAATTAATATTGGGCCTACAACTTGAATTTGCACATTATATTTATTTAGTTTGCTTCACCAAAAACTATTATGTTCAATATAAAAACATCCATGTGTATCGCAGCCTTGTGGGTTCAAGAAGGGTTCAATTTAATTTAAAGATCATGACTGAACAACTTTTTTATTACGTGAAAAAAATTTCTATAGTGGATTTTATTTGAGTCGATAGAAAAGAACGAGAGGTAAGAATAAAAATATTTGGTTCCAATATCAATTCGTTTGTCACTTGAGTAAATGCATTGGCAACACTGCGTGTCAGTGTTACTTGGAACTTTCTAGTCGACGCGATAAATGTATCGCAGACGCGATAAATGTATTGTTGGTGCTTCTGTAAGAGTTTTGTAGAATCAATCTATCCAATGTCTGAAGTTTATTGACCCAATTGACAATAGTTCGATGTAATTTCTGGACAACCGGAAGAATTGAACGTTTACGTGCAAATGACTAGTCTTAAGGGAAAGGGAGCTATAAAGGACATTTTCCCTTCAGAATACTACAAGTTTAATTTCATCTTTAATTGAAAGTATTTTCTGCTGCACACTTTAATATTTCATCTTTACCGATCTGTATTAACAGTTTTAATATTTCACTCCTAAATATGTTTTAAATACACGTTTTTCAAACATATTTTTGTCAACTAGCTCCCCTAGGAGGCTAATGTGGAGGTGTGAAGTTACGGTGGTCACATACAAATACAGTTATTACACTAGGAAGATTACACACCATTATTTCATTAGGAAGGGTTAACTATAAAACGTAAAACATCCTTCACTATTTTATCACATATTGCATCTTTGGATTTTCGTGCGTTCTGGTCATCTGGAACGAGAAAGAGGATGGTAACTAAATGAGAAAGTTAACATTTATTTATTTACCAATAATACTGATTATATTATTATTCGTTTAATAACTTTTGAGAACAATTATCTTTAAGCTACGTGATAAATTAAACCAACACTGATATTATGTCCGTAACTTAAACGAATCATGTATCAAGCTCTCCCAAACAGTGTAGAGTGGGTCATTTAATTTAAAATCTTTGCCCATGCGTCTGATTAAACTGGTCTACAAAAGACTACCTTTTTATGTAACAAGAACTAAACTCCCTCTTCCTGGAAGATAACTTGCCTCTCAATCCAGATCTAATTTTTGAATTTCTGTATCGACCTTAGTTTTCGTGTGATTTTTTTGTATTTTAAATACAACAACATAAGTGTCAAGAAAGTTGAAAAACATTTCAATAAACAATATTTCCTTCCCGATTTTTTTGCGATAATTTGCCTCATCATAACTACATCCTTATAAGTTCCAGCAGTAGTCGCGCACATTGCGTCACTCAAATTGCCTTGATAACGGTTTCCCATTTGAGAGATGTCCTGGTGGAACCCATAACGGACTCGATATCACATCAAAGAACTGTCACTTTTCTTGGAGAAATATTTTGAAAAACTATTACGTACGGGGAAAAGGCTTCGTTTTAGTTGCGTAGCTAAAAGTCCAGACTGGCTTCGACAACTTTAAATAAAGAACAAGATCGTTGAGATCCCTTTAAGAAAAAAATGTGGTTCATTTGATTCACAGAAAGCTTAAACAGTTGGGTTAGCATGGATACATCAATCTCTCCGATACTGTCGTCTAAATGTCCGTCACGGAAGTATTCACCTTCACTCTTTGGCTGGTATGAATAAAAGGAAGCAATTACTCTTGCTCCAAGTTTCGGAGATCCTTCTCAGTTTCATATGAATAGTGGGTGAGCAATTGATCAGTCTCTGAGCACTTGCTCCATCTTTGAGCGTGCTAGCGTTTGAGAACTGGCTAGCAAATGCTCAGAATTGGTTTGAATAAAGTTAAGCGTTTACTCTCTAGAGTGAGCACTTGCTCCAAAATTTCGGAGGGACCTTAGTACAAGACTCGCGTTTGAAAAGTAAGGTTAAATTGGCCGATTTTTTTCCGTGAGTTGACATGCAGATGCAGCGGACTAAAAAAAATACAAGATAAGGCGAAATTCTCGTGATGTAGACTATTAGAATATTTGCCAATTCGAAAAGGACAAAGGTTGGTACGATTTTTGGTATGGCGTTTGCTTTCAGGCGTGTTTTCATATTGCATATCTTCTATGTTAATTGGCCACAGCTCTTTTCTACTTGGAATTTTTCGGGGTACTGTTTTTTTTTATTTTTTTTTTTTTAAACTTTGTAATGTTTCGTTTCGGACACAGCGTCCGGAAGCTGGCTCTTTTCAAAAGTAATTTTATATTCGCTTAGCATTTCGACAAAAACTAGCTGGGCCTCTGGCGCCTGTTTTTCATTACTGCTACTCATATTCGAATTTAAAGATCGAGACAACAAAACATTGTGACGCGCGTAACGTATGTGACCTCTTTGTTACTCAAGTAACCAATTTTTAAAACTCTTAGTCTGCACTGTCACTTGTTAACGAAATGCACTTGTTAACGAAATGCACTTGTTAACGAAACGCAAATGCTCGCGAGATATGAGCAAGTTCTTCGGAAACCGAGTTTGTATTTATACGAGATGAAGCTTCTGCTCAGTGCCTCGGAGTATACTCGCTTTGCTCCGGAGCAAGTGTTCATTTTTATTCATACAACCCATTGTCATATTCTCAGGGGGTACCGGTACCAGTAATCTTCACTATGACATACAGGCTTTGTATGAGAAAGAAAATTAGGATATTTCACAGTTTTCTTCGTTGGTGAGGTGATTCCAGTTATTTTTGTCAGACAGAAATGACAGTCTGTTTTGTGATCCCTTGGTTCCTTCCAAATCTTGGGGACAGCAAAGAGCATATTTCGTGTACCTTTTAATCAGCATGTCAGGAGTTTATCACACGACACAGCATTTATGGGGACCATTTCAGGCACTGGTCGATAAACGTACGCCCGAAATAAAGTTCGTAATACTTCCTTATCAGATCATTAAGGTTCCGTTTTTGCGATTTCAAAGTTAATTCTTCACAGTTATAACAAAATGAATTTGGGCTATTTACACAGTTATGTGAATTTCTTCTACTTAATACAACCTTCACGAACCTAGAACAACAAGCAGTCACATCTAAGCACTTTTTCGCTCTATCAAATCTCTCAATGCAGGAACGCAACCGACAACACACACAACGCGATTCCATGTGTTCTAGCGAGACTTATCAGCAATGTTGCAAAACCGATTTAATTTCCTAGATGTGAATTTTCAGAAATCAGTGTCGTGTGTAGTAATTTCTTCTTCACATCTCTATTGTTGCTGAACAATTAGATATGCGGTATAATTAAATGACCAAATTCAGGTTCCAAGTCCTAGCTAAGAACACCATTCAGCTTCTACAAAAAATGCCAATGTTATGACACACTGATACAAAACTGTAATTACTGTTTTGCTGTTCAATAATGTGGGGGTTTGGGTGGACAGTAGCGTTTCCAGACGTCCCGCATTTTACTTTCCCGTTTACTTCTTTAGGTTTTGGGGGTACTTTACATGAAGCCCCTGGGATATTCAAGATTTTCTCAAAAATGAACAGAATTTCGCAAAGCCCGTTACATCTTGTTCTGATTACGAAAATGCCTATTAAAATTTGATAACCTACTGATTACGTTGTTTCTGATTGAAATCTGTATAAATAACTATATTTCTATTCTTAAACTAAAATATTTCTTATTGACTTTTGTTTTGTCCCGCTTTTTCCAAATACACCGCGCCTTTTTTATTAAGATTTGGTAAAAATCATGACATACACGAATCGCTGATTGACAGCTCCATATTCAATGTCCATTTTAACCCCCACCCTTCATTTTGCATATTTAGTGTCAGTATCACTTTATACTAAAATGAAAAATAATTTCACTGTAGGCAGTAAATAATTAAAACCTTTTCATAAAAAATACATTTAAAATCTATATTTTAAGATCAAAACTCTGCACTTACATGGAATTGCAGCTTTTTCTAATTAAACCATAAATAAGTCCGTATTCCGTTCCACAACAACTGATGATCTACCGCCCGAACGTGGCTGTCTTAAAAAACACTGTGGCCAACATCTAAGAAATAATTTTGACTATTACGTGTGTTACGTATGGAATAAACACATTTGTTCGCAGTGGACCTTAGCCCACACACTACTCCTCCCCATATTTAATTCATTTTCCATATCAAATATTCACCAATTACGCAAATCAGCTATAGATTTGGGTTATTATCCGTCTTTGCGTATTGGAAAGACATGGGTGAGTTACTCCAGCGCACCGATTTTTGCTCGTCCTGCGCAACACCAGTTTGCGTCACGAACCACGTGGCCACAGCACGGGCACTTCGTTGGAAAAGCCAGATCTGACCAGTACATAGAGAAAAATGTGTCAAATCTTTGAATCTGACTACTTTTTTGTGTGTGCCTATGTTTTGTTACATATCGATATTGTAATGCTGTTTCTGACATGAAATATAGCCTCAGAAATTTGCATTAAAATAATCCGGTGGACTGATATCTTTACTTTTTCTGAGCAAGCCAAGTGCTATAATAGACTTGTTTGTACATCTTGCTTCATCTAAAAGCACTTTCCTGTTGAAAAATTTCACCTTTTTCTTCGTTACGTCCACTGCTCTGTGCTTTGTTATAGCAATTTAGTTCAGACACCGCGTCCCTCAAAACTTAAAACCAGTAAACAGAAATACGTGATTGTGTTTGCAGGTGCAGCTTCCAAGATGCGAGTGGCGCCGCGCGAAGCACTTCAAAACAGGTTAGAGCGTCCTAAGCGTGAGTGATTGTTGAGAATCAAAAGTAAAGCTTGAATGAGTGTTACAGATTGAAATAAAAATATCAGTGACAGCTATAATTATATACGATTATATTTTAGTTTGCTGAGGTATGGTGACAGAAATTATGAATTAATCATTATGTAAAGCTGGGATTGTGCCATTACGTATAAATTTTGCCGGAAATGCATTTTGAAATATCACTTCTCACACACACGGAACTTTAGTTAGTTGAACTAAGGCAACAAAATGTCACCAGGAGACGTTTTGTGAACAGCGCCCTTGTCTGTCCCGTTTTAACAGAATTGGTGGCCCCTTATTCTTACTTTCACTGATCTCCAACCCCTGTTTCGAAACTTAAATGTAAATAAAATCCTATCAATTAAAAAAATCAAAATACTTAATTATCTTGGCAAGTTTTGTTAAAAATCTAAAATTCTCAGCACTGACATTATTGCACTAGCCAGCAACATTTCATATTATAAATTATCCAATGCATGACTCATCAATCCATTATGCCAGTTTTTTGCGTATAGTTTAATCCATCACTTTCTCGCCTCCGCGGTAGAGTGTGCAATTCTGCGCGTAAAAACAGCGAATTTTCGGCAGAAAAACTTATTACAGAAACCTGAGATGTAAAAATGTCATGTTTCATTTTTCAAAACCATGCACATTTTTGATAAAAATATTGTCAAACAGGCAATTTTTATTTTCTTCAAACAATTATTTCTCATAAAGAGGCCCAAAATTTGTTGGTTAAATTTAGACCGTAGATAGCGTAAAGGACGCTTAAGAGAATGGTAATCATTACACTGTTAATATGTAGCAAATACAGACTGCAGTTTCACATTTAGAGCATCTGTTCACTGGTATTTTTGACATAAGATGATAATGTGTCAAATTGGAGAGACCTATTCTTAATCTGGTCAATATACGAGTACATTGTCTTCCTATTCTTGATGTATGGTTGATGCTCCCACACATTGTTACGGATCAGTGTAGTTTTGACCTTGTATTTTCCCAGATGATGCTCCATTTTTGCCAGATACATTGATTTATAGCCCTTTCTGTCCTTCTACAGTAATTAGTTCTTTTTCACAATCGATTCCTTAGGAAATGTGTGGTTTGTTTGTTTTTTGCTAAGTCTGCTTTTTTCCCTAATACCCCATGATGAGACGGTACCAATGCCAAGAGTATTTTGACATGAGTAATTATACTAACATTTTCACATTGTTCTAACATATTTCAGAGTCAGATGTTTTGAATCACGCCTTGGGCAGTAACGATTCTAGTTCCGATGAAGATTCGCCAGGTGATTCATCTTCAAATAAGGTGAGAGAATTATCGTACTGAAACATTATTTAACGAGGCTTGAAGGTTAAATAATGGGGATAGCATGTTAATAATGGTGTGTAAATTTTGGAGATTGGAGTTGTCTCACAATTTCATTCGAATGGACACATGAAAAATAGAACAGGTTTTATTATACAAGAATTCTAAGTGAGCTTTTAATTGTGGGGCTGTAAAATAATTATTTCTATACAATTAGAGGCTATACTGATCATCAAAAAAAGAATCTTTATTTTAACAAAATAATGATATATAATGAATAAGTTTACATTTCTATTTTATAATTTTTTTAAATGACTTAATATATCTGTAACAAGTACGGTGCCGTCCATAAATTAAGTGAGGCGATTTTTTGACTCTCCCTCTTCTCTTGGGAAGATGTGAGATTTGGCACGACCCCCTCCCTCCTCCTAATGTCATGTGAGGTTTTTCAAAATACGTTAATTTGTGATTAATTGCATTGGGGTTTATTTAGAAAACATAATTTCCTCAATTATGTTTAACGCTAGATATAACTAGTATTTAGAAAATAAAGTGACTGAATTACAATGAATATTACTGCCCTTCTTAAAAACAGTGCAATTATTCATTCTTAGTATTTTTCTTTAAGATTTCTGTAAATACAGGAAATGAGATTTATCGCATTAATGATGAAGAGTTAGGTAATTTTTGTTACATTATTTTTCTCAGTATATAATTCTACTTATTCTAGCATTCATATAACCGAGATTAAAATTATTGTGCAAGATTATTCCGCTTTTTATTAGTGAAGAAAGCCATTGTTTAGTAGTATACGTGTTTTACTAAACTTGGTTTTCTCACAATTTAACTCTGTGTTTAGCGAAAACAATACACGATATTTGCCGATATCCCTGTCTCCTCCACGTATACTAAGTAAGAGTCGCCTTGACCCTCTCCCTAAAAAAAGAGGCCTCACGTAATATATGGTTGGTCCCTAATGCTCTACAGATTCCGAGTCAATGACCTCCATCTCGATCAGGTTTTGTTTCAACTTTCCTCATTCATTGAGCACATTCTGAGATGATCCCTTGATTTGCTTCTGAACATACATTTAGCTTCACTATGCTCCCGTTTTGTTGAGCTCTCGTTTTGCTTCTGGTGAGTTACTATTTTGTTTGCAAAGCAGAAAAAAAAACCTTCAGTTCGTTCATCGTCGAAAATAAGTTTCGTATTATTCTGGAACAAAAATGTCTAGTTTTTCAAATGTTGCTAATCTCGCGCTTTTTAAAGTTTTATTATTATTATTGTAAAATTTTATTCATCTTCCAATTATTTATAGTTAAAATATGCTTAGGGAGTCTAGAACCCAAGAAAACATACGCAGATGATTTTCTCCCCCATACGTCACATACAGGTTTTACTATTATTTGGCTAAATAAATAACTTGACGAGGCATATTCTAAGTCAATTAACCAGCCAAGCAATTGAAAAAGCTCAGATTCCGTTAATAGTACAAGGGTTTATTTAATTTTCTCGTTATAATAATAAATATATCATGCACAATATTATTTTCACGTTGTCATCCTGTCACTACGTGGTTGCTAATACGTGCTAAATAAACAGAGCGCGTTGGAGTTTACGTGCGGTAAAAGTGAATTTTTTTTTCGAAATAGATAAAAAAGTAATTGAACACTGAGTAAGAGTTATTTCACGTAAATCATCGAAAAAATTCCAAAAAGGTTGTAGTTTGTATCGTGAATGGAAAGAGAAAAAGGTTCTACTGTACAGGAATTGACGGATGCTAAAGGATGCTTCAGTTGATTGAACACATGGTGTTGGGTTTTCGGGCCTCTTAATTTCTGATTTTTCTTCATTAAGATGTGAACAGATACGAAGTTTTATTAATGATTATGGATTGAACGATTTGGAAGTAATGTTTAATTTTCAACTGAATTAATTGTTTAGCACTGGAGAAATAAACATTCAGCATTCCTTATTTCTACTAACCCAAAGGGAAAAAATCTGTACTAAATCGGAAGAGATTCGAACTTGTTAAGGAAGGTGATGTCTTAGTACGATTTTATCAGCAGCAGGAGCGATAAAAACACAACAAAACTCCCCCAAAATATTAATGTTCGATTACTCTATTTCAAACACATACACTCTTAAGTGTAACGACGTAAAATAACTGTAAATTAACCCAGGTAGTACAAAGGTTCTACTAAAACGGTCAATGTTTCCCCAAAGAAACTGAACTCGTCAAATGCACATTTTGAATATTCAAACCAAAATCAAATGAAAACTTATTTTTCAATTTTCCTAAATAACTCATTCAAAACATCCAAAACAATTAACTAAATTTGTGTTTCTTTAACAAAGCGCACGAGCACCGCCCCGGCCGCGACAAGCTCTAAGCCCCCAACCAGTCTCCTGGCGTGTATGATAGTGTAATGCCTCTGAATAAGGGGTATGAATAGGATACAGAAGGGAAAAGAGAGAATGCACGCGGTCCATTGCCCGTTTATTAGGGTACTACTCCAGCTTTCACCTGGTGTTGATTGGAGGAATTATGGAAAACTACCGACTAGAGCAGTTGGCCGCTAGAATTCTCAAGGCAGTGGTTGGGCTCGACCTTGCTGACTAGCTTGTGCCGAAAATCCTGCCACCGTCTGGACTCGAACCCTAGGTCCTCTTGAACAGAGGCCTTTCAATAACACTAATTGATACCGTGAGTCACATATCACACGCTATTGATCACGTGGTTGCTAGCTAACGTTTTACGCTACGCTGTGGGAAAAACTGCAATGCCAGTAGCACCCTGCTGTCCTCAGCGGTCGAGCTCCCCCCGGCCCGACAACGTCCGGCAGCGGCGACTGGAGCGCGCGCGCGCCTTCATCCTGGAGGAGGCGGAGGAGGACGACGAGTCGGCGGAGGATGACGAAAGCGTCGGCGAGGACGTCAGCAGCGAGGAGGACGGGCCGTCGGCGCGCGACATCGACGGCGCCTACCGACGGGACGAGCTATACAACTCGCAGAAGAATGGCGACATTACCGACTACCTGGCCATTAAATACGGGGGCAAGGTAGGTTAATTAACAATATTATCATATCAGATACCCCCTCCAAAAACTTTTCTATAATGAATAATTTTATTTGAAAAAATCTACAATAATATTTTGTGAGAAATGTAGTAGAATAAAATAATTACATTTTCGAATAACTTTTAGAGTTTGTTTAATTCTTAACCTTGAAGATAAACACAATTGAGCGTTTTTCATGTCCAGTATTCTACGATTCTCTCTGAGCATATTTATAGTAATGTAGTAAATGTACGTTTTTCATCATATTCCAAGATAATGCTGGACCTACGTTCTTGGCTCTTCAATGATTTGCTTGGGGTCTCCTAACATTTTGTACCTCAAACCTGCAAAAGAGGAAGGAAATAGATTTTTTTACAATTCCACCAACTGGAGAATTTACGTGGAGGCGTTTCTAGATGTCTAGGCGTTTGTCAGTGCAGGCAAAATATTGGTCGTTAGCTACCGAACGATCTGTGAACGAAATCGTCCGATTTATTTCATCCTACAAATCAAGGAGGTTATAATTTATCATTACCGTTTTGGAAATAATTACTCGAATGTTACACCCGAAATTGTCGGAATACTTCGAAAATTTCGCAGCATGTTTAAAACAATTGCGAGAGGCACGATCTAGACTATCTACATGTATTGCAAGTAGTCTTGGCATTACATTTGCCCTTGACTCTCCAGCTGATTTTGGACGAATGGAAACCGAAAAAACGACACAAATCTTCGTCCGACAGCCCATGTTTTCTGACATTGTCGGAAGAGATCGTTTGGGTTAAATATGCTCATTTCCATTTCATGGTCTTAAGCTGACAGGAGGAGACACTTGCTACCGAATCGCGAGCATCGTAACTTAATTTTTTGGTACTGAAGCTCCCAATTGGACGACAATGACCGCCCTCTCGTTGCACCTCGTGACCTTAAATATACTTGATATTTTAGCACATGTTTGAACGAATCTGACGCAAACGTTCAACGTCGGCCGACCGAATTTTCTGCCTAAAAGAGACTGTGATCGCCGCCGTCCGTCACCGGGTGCTGGTTTGATTCATTGATTAGTGATTCCGGGCAGCGCGTCAAGTACTAAGGTCATTAGTCTCGCGAGTGTAGTGTTTTTTGCTCGGGAGGTGGTGATGAACTTTCGCCCGCCGTATGGCGAGATCCGACGCCGACCTATGGGTTTACTCCAACCACGTATCTCCCACCAGCGTGGCACGCCCCCAGCCGGGACAAGCTCTTACGTCCTGACGGATCTCCCGGCATGTGCGCTTGTGTAGTGCGTGTTAGTGTAAATATGTGTGTGTATGTAAGGGGTGAGGATAGGTGGGTGAGATTGCGCGCGGTCCGTGGCCCGTTTGTTAGGGTACTGCTCTGGCATCCGCGTGGTGTTAATCGAAGAAACCATGGAAAACTTCTGATCCGAGCAGCCGGCCGCTGGAATTCTCCTTCCGACAGCGACAGAATTCGCCCCAGCCATCTAGCTAGTGTCGAAAATCCTGCCACCGTCACGACTCGAACCTTGGCCTTCCCGGTCAGAGGCACAGCAGTGACTTCAGTTGATGCCAGGGTGCTGGGTCGTCGTCGGCGGAGGCGCGCGAGCAGGCGGAGGCCGAGGAGGAGGAGGACGGGGCGCTGGCGGAGGAGCTGGAGCGCCGGCGCCTGCTGCCGGGGGGCGGCGCCGCCGACCCGCGCCTGTGGACGGTGCGCTGCCGCGCGGGCGAGGAGCGCGCCGCCGTGGTGCAGCTGCTGCGCGCCGCGCTGCGCGCCCTGCCGCACTTCCCGCCGCAGCCGCCCGAGCCGCTGCGCGTGCACGCGGCCGTGGCGCGCCAGGGGCTGCGCGGCCACATCTACGTGGAGGCGCTGCGCCAGACGCACGTCAAGACGGCGGCGGAGGCGGTGGGCTCCCTGCGGCTGGGCCTCTGGCACCACAAGGTTCGTCTCACCACAGTGTCACTGCGCCACCGATTCCGCCAATTTATATTCAATTGTACTAAGCGGAGTGGGAGTTAGGAACCACTAATCTGCCAAACCCAATGATTCTAAATTCTCCATAATGACTCCGATTGCTCTCATTTATCCTTAACTTAAGAATGTTCCCTGGCGGGGCTTTCGGGTGAAAGAGTATTGAGTGGCGGTAGCCGTTCTGTTTGCGCTACTCTCTGTATCTAGGGACTGTACGTCTCGCATAGCTGCCACGCGCCGCGCGGCAGGCGTATTACTTCCGTTAAATGTAGATGGCAAAGAAAGACCTCGGCAAGAAAAATTAAACAAAAATTGAAGGATAATAATACAATTAATAAATATCTCAGATGTTTAAAAAATAGAATTATGTAGTTTACGCGGATGTAACACTTCTAACCCACGGTTAAAGTACAGAAAAGCGTGACTTTATTAGAAGAAAAGAAGTAGTGGCATAACAACTCTCGAAAAGTTGGAAAGTGGTGAAGCTGGGATATGTTTCAGATGGTTCCACTGAAAGAAATGCCGGACGCTCTGCGCATCATCAAGCCCAGCGACGACCTGCAAAAGAGCCAGTGGGTGCGCATTAAGTCAGGTAAGGCCCTATCACAATTGTAATCACTAGTTAAAATTGCACCCAAAACTCTAACATTTACCCTGAAACATCAAAATAGTGAATATATTACATGCTTTATAAATAATAGTAATTTATATTTAAAGATCGAGTAACCGGTCTAAGAAACTGCTTTTCGAAAGGAGGTACTTCTCGAGACGGATCACAGCGGAACCGATGATAGAAAAAACGTCTGAATACATAACTTGTCAACCGAGGTGTATACACCTTTTTTGTACATGCCCAAGGACAATGTAGTGCGACGAAGATGACTACAGTAGAACATAGTGGGGCGGGACCGATCAGGGTTAATGAATTTCCGGGTTATCTAGAGAATGAGGGAGAAAAATAACATTAACTTATCAAACATATGTTTAATGGAGTTTATACATTATTATCCACTCAATTTCACCTAAAACACATTGTAATATGTATTCACGATATACATCGGTACAAACTAGTCGGTGGCCCTAAGAACCGACATTGCCAGGGACACTTGTCTATCCTCACGGTGGGTAGCTCGTCGCTGAAAGCTTGGGGAGGAAAAGAAAAAGGTAGCAGGTGGGTTGAGGGCAATGAACTCGGCCGCTGGCAAGTTAATTCGAGTAATATACCTATTGAGAATAGCGATTTATCGTCTAAAACAAAACTTCATTTACTGCGGTAAAGTGCGTGATCTTCCTTTCATCCTTATCTTACCTCTTCCATTTCACACACACACACACACACACACACACACACACACACACTGCACTCTTAATATTACAGATGCTGTGTACCAGTCAGAGCTGAGAACTTGTTCCGGCAAAGACGGTCCTCGATGAGGGAGATAACCGGAGGAGGACCCGATCGGAGGGTGGGCGCCGGATCTGACCTTGCAGCCGTTGAACACTGCTATCGCCCGGGGATATAACAAACGCTACACTTACGAAACTCATGACCGCAGTAGCTGTCGCGGCCGGAACACTAAACCCTCTCGCTGTGTGTGTTGCAGGGCTGTACAAGAACGACGCGGGCGTGGTGGAGGACGTGGACCTCGCCCAGGGCCAAGTGCTGCTGAAGCTGCTGCCGCGCATCGACTATTCCAAGCGCCGCTTCTCGCCGCGCGGGACGCCGGTGAGGGCGGCGCGCAGGGCGGAGCCCGACCCCGACACCTCGGCGGTGCGTTGCTCTTTGATTAATTCCCACAAGCCTGCTTTGGCTGCATTGAAGTGAGCTTTCAGTTTTTGAATACCATAACTTATTAAAGTAAAGAAGTGTTTGCTAATTCTAAGTTAAATTTATTACCATCAAATTAGTCAGACTGAACGTTTGCCTTTAATTTAAAGACAGAATAACATAAAACCACTGCTTTATATCAATACATAAATTACATGTGGTACATAATGCTCCAACGTTTCGGAAATTAATTATTTCCGCAGGCTTAATGGCAGAAACAATTAATACAATTTAAACAATTTACAGATGGTCAGATTTTAACAGATGATTTACATTAAGCCTGACGATGGAAATAATTAATTTACGAAAGGTTTCTGTATTTATGTATCGCATGTAATTTATATATTGATATAAAGCAGTGATTTTATGTTAATATTGTCTAAATTAAAGACCAAAGTACAGTCTGACTAATTTGAAGAAATATGACATAAAAATAGTAACCTTAAACTTTATTACCTTCCTTCCATCTCTTGTATTTCATAAGAATAGATCATACAAATATCACGACTGAAAACAAAGGGATGAATTCTAAGAATTTTGAAACCACTCTGTGGCAATTTTGGCGACTTGACAACGCGTAAAATGAAGCGCGCAAAACTCGAATTTACAATTCCGATCTTTTTGCAATTTTCGAAAATACAGAGAATGCTCTGAAAATGGGACCATCAGCGCTTTCTTTACAGTTTTTAGTACATATGAGGAAGTACCCTAAAGAAAACATTTGGTGCCGTTTCTGACAAAATGATTAGTTTTAAAATTTAAAAATGTCCTATGTTTGGCGCAAAACTACGCCAAGAATTTCGTAAGTAATTTCAATGTACATGTATTATTGAATCTATACTTCTAATATAAAATGTATATTTAATAAATTAATATTAATAAACAAACAAAAATGTGATGTGTACAGGTGAAAGGAAAAAAGAAGAAAACAAAGAGACCAATGGCCAAGCCTTTCAATGAATCTGCAATAAAAGACATCGGGGGAGAAGTAACTCATGAAAACAATTTCCTTGTTTTTGAAGGGAATCGATATTCAAAAAATGGCTTCTTGTACAAGAAGTTCCCGTTGAAAGGAGTCATTAAATCTGGTGAGTTATCTTGGTACTCTTGTTATCTGAACACATCGTAGGAGATGCGAAAACTCTTACCTGTGGGAGCCTATTAAATAATCAGAGGGAAGTCGCTAAGTAGTCGCCCGGGAGACGCCGCGCCGTAGGCACAGGTGCCAACGTTTTCGCCACCATTCTGCAAATGCATTTCACCCTGAGGAAGGTCGCAGAGTGGTGGCGGAAACATCACCTGTGCCTAGAGGACGGCGTCTCCCGGACAGCCAGGTAGCCAATAATATGTTAGATTATTCAGTATAGATACTTAAAACTTCGAGAGCATATTAGGGGCCACCTACCCCCACTGCTGCATTATCTCTCGGCTTGCCTACAAAGACGAAGAATAAGGTATATATCAATTTAACGTGTGTCGTGCCGAGAGGATACCGTTTCTTAACAAGCAAGGAATATTGCATTTGTACTACATTAAAACTTTTGTTGTTAACAAAAACGCAGTGATTTGCAGATATATTGTAATAAGCAAATCACAATTGTGTGCAGTTTTTGCACATTTTACAAGCACTGTAACATTGCGTACTCTTCTCAAACGTTGATGTGGAATTATATTTCTTGTACTGGAAAATAAGACCTCTATTCCGGTTACAAATGTACTGATAAAACTAGTGGTGCTAGTAAATTGCATAGTTTGTAGCTCCAGTTATCTAATCCCTTTACACTAGGCTAGATTTTGGGGATGGAGCCACCCTCTTCCGAAACATAACGCCAATACTAGCATTCAAATATGACCTTCAAAATATAACAAAAATTCCACATGTAAATTTTCATTGAAAAGTTTGGAGCTGTGCCTGCGAAATTGTTGCGTGAACCTTGCTGAAAAAGAACTGTTTTGTGTCCGTTAACACAGAATATTTGAGTTTTCTGGAAACTTTAACAGAAATAATTTGAAGCACTTGTATTTATAAATATAATGTATAATAATGCCAGTGATGTAAACATTAACGGCGTGATATGTATTTCAAAATCGTTGCATTTATGTATTTTTTGTAAAATAAAAAAAGAATACACCAAAACAATGTCAAATTTTTCAGTGCATTTAGAACTATACGTCGAAAAAGGTTAAAAAAAATTGGAGCCGTTTTCGAGGTAGTGGAATGGAGTCTTCTAAAAAGACTTAATTTTGAGCTTGTCACTGATAACTTCCGAGTTTTTGAGAAACTTAATCATAAATCTTTTAAAGTACGTGTGCTTACTAATACAAGAAAGTATAAAAACGCCTGTACTGTAAATATTAACTGCGTGAGGGATACTTCCAAAAGTTATATTCGTGTAATTTTTGAAAAATCAAATACCACTCATATTTTCGAAACAATGAATATTACCACCATAAGCAAGAAGGAAGATCAACAAAACGTGCACATATTCAAACTTCATTTATATCGAAAACTAAAACATTGGGCCATCTCAGCATTTGCTCAATGGATCAGGGAAACGAGAAAATCCTGTTTGAGGTGGGGGTCATTCACCCGGTAGATGAAGTACCCTACATGCTATAGGGCTTTTTTAAATTATACAATACAAATGGATACAAAACAAACGGACTGACAGACGTTTTGCCCTCCATCGGTACGAAGGACGCACAAAACACGGATTCTGTTTACGTATTAGAGGAAATAATGTACTATATACTGAGACATGATTTCTCTACTTAGTCGTTACCAGGGTCCGGTAGTAAGAGGCTTTCCATCGAAAATTTTACGTTTTTCCTGCAGTATTACAATACTTTATAATGTATAGCGTAAGCAGTAGCTAGAAAGTAAGGAGGCAATAGCGACAGATAATTAAATCAATGAAATCGTGAAGAATGCTTCACAAAATATTTTAAAACATTGAGGCTCCTTAACATGTTATGAACTACCAATAAAATCTCACACGAATGGTCCAATTTTATGACTAAGCCAATTAATAATAGAGTATGTTGCTCCATGTGCATAAAATATATTACAAAACTAGCGTTGCGACAGAATGTCACAGACTTTCTTGTACTAGTTAGTTTTCTAATTTATTTATTCTGAACTAGCTTTTTGGTCTTGCCCCATTCTCTGGCCAGCTGATATTTATCGTTGCCCATACTAATTTTTTTTCAAATCTGTCAATTTAGATTTCCTAATACTAAAAATCGAAATATTATTTCAGAATATTATAGAAGGGTTAAACCTCGTCCTATGTTGAAGTATTTTTTGTACGAAAATTTTTAAGCGTTACTGTAATTGCGAAATTTCAAGCTTTTGTTAACAGGAAACTTTTGAGCTTTTGAATAACTTCATTGAAAGCCATTTCTACTCATAAATCCAAGATACTATACCAAGATACTCAAGAAACTCTCTTCGAGCACCGTGTCAGTGTGCTCTCAGAGTTTCTTGTGAGAGTGTGTATTGGTTCAGAGAAGTGGCCAGTTAAGCTAAAGTGTGCCTAGCTATTTCCTATCGTGCTGCGCACGATTATTTTTAACTACTTGTAGCAACTTCACACTAGCAAAAATTGTGCCGTAGCTACTAGGACAAAGAGTCTAGCAGGCAGGGAGGCCCTTGTCCTTAGAGAGCAATTGAGTTCGACAGCGGCAAGCGATGATGAAATGTATGGTAAAACGACAACTACGATAGTCATTTGGGAAGATCAACAGGAAGCTAGAATGAAACCAAAGAAGAAGAGAACTTCCTGCTCCACTAGCATGACTAGACTGCGATGGCCAAGAGGGCAGAACAGCAAAAGGTGGTGAGTAACGCTGGCTCTACAGCTATCCTTGACCAAAATTTTCGACATGTTTTCTATATCTTCCTAAAGTAACCTCACAAAATCCGCACCTTCACAACTTTTTCCAACCACTTTCAAAATCTCTTCCATCTTCAAACAAACAGACTATTACGACAAATGGTTTCTTGATACCAAACCAAGCAAGTCACTGTCTCAGGACACCTTACCCTATCACCCCTGCCAACCATTATGCCCCACTAACAATAAATGCGTCTCAGAATGCCCAGAAAACCAATGATAACACTAAACTTACAACTGAGACTGCCTCCACTCCAGCAAAAAACCTCAAAACGGAGCAATTCATATTGACAGCAAATGACTCACAAACACCACGAGACTCGACAGACTTACAGCGTCATCGTGTGGAACAACACTTTTTTCTTGCCATTCCAGGGCGTTTATCTGCGATATCTGCCTTGAGTTTGTCGAGAAGTGATGCATAGTATTTTCCAGTGATGGTTTTTCCCTTTTCCAGGTAGTCTATAAGAAGAATACCTTTAGCATCCCAAAAGATTGACGCCATCACCTTCCCTGCTGTTGGATTGCATTTCGCCTTCTTCGGAGCCGGTTCTCCTCTTGCAATCCAGTGTTTTGACAGCTGCTTGTTTTCTGGAGTGTAATGGTGAATCCAAGTTTCGTCCATGGTAACAAAACGACGCAAAGAAGCTGCTGGATTCTGCTTGAAGAGCTTCAAACATTATGTTCTCATGCGATTTCGTTTCATCTCTGGAGTTAACAACTGCGGCACACATCTTGCACAAAGCTTATTCATTGTCAATTCATGATGCAAAATAAAATGCATTCGGTAATTTGAGATACTTGTGGCCTCTGCTAACTCACGCACTTTTACTCGTCTGTTTGCTAAAACAATATCATGGATTTTGTCGATGTTTTCTGGCGTCACAGCAGTTTTTGGAGCCCCAGGTCTTGGGGTATCTTCAATGCTTGTCCTGCCTCGCTTAAATTCGTTGACCCCAAAGTCTCACCATCTCATTCGAAGGGCATGAATCACCTAATGTAGGCGCTATCCTTTGATGGATTTCTTTCGCGTTTTTTACCTTCCTTGAAAAAGAATTGGGTAACACCACGAATTCCAACTTCTAACCATCTTTCACACTGACTTGCAAACGCTTTTGTTCAAGTCGCTGTCCAACAATGAGCTAGAGTGATAATGACTTGTAACAATGGAATTTTACCGTATATTGTTGTAGCTTTAAAAAAAATCACAGACGTTGCTTTCGTAATCTCTTAGTATGCGAACCACGTTACTTATCGAACGACCTCCGTATATCAAGATATATCGTACATTTACACAAGTATGTTATCATCTATAGAAAAGAAAAAATCGCAAACTCTGACAAGCTTATTGTAATCGATGAACACTAACAAGTAAATAGTTTCTATGGAAATATGAAACGTTTTAGAGATTAGTCTGTATTTTAACGAAATATGCCAAATAAGCGCCTATGTTTACACGAATATGCAACAAAGGAAATATTGGTCAGATATGCATTTAAATTCTTCGCTAGTATACATAGCATCTAATACTATCCAAAGGTCGAGAACTTTTACTTAGCTATGCCCTGAAGCAACGGACAAGAATATGCAAAATCATAGAAATACTTCTCCTAATAATGACTTACCTACATCGTCAAAGAAAAACGACTATATATACGCTGACGACGCTGTACTGATAGTGACAAAATATAACCATCTCTCACTGTCCGCATACTACATGCAACAAGACCGCATCACCAACTGGGAAAAAGACAATCTTCGTTTGAATCCCAAAAATAGTCGAGTAATATTTTTCAACAGAAGCACGACATACAAAACATATCCAACCCCGCCCACTCTCCATTGACAACCCCCATCAATTGGGCTCACAAGACAAAATATCTCGGTATAACTCTTGACCGCAAATTACTTCTGAACAAAGACATTGACAACAACTCAAAAAATAGATGACTCAATTCACAGAGTTCCGTACTGGCGCACCCCCCTTACGCCGACAAAAATCTATACAAGACACAAGAATTACATCAAACCCATCCTGACGTACAATTGCGAGGCCTTGGCCATGACAGCTAACTACTAGACTACCTGTGTTGGTGCCAGAATATTATCAAGACAGAAAACCTTTTCCTGCGGCTGGCATTCAGGCCTCCAATGACAAACTACAAGAGACTCAGACAAATCTTAATATGACTGCAATTGAGAAAGTCGTGTACAAAACAATTAGACAAAAGATAGACAAAGCATTAAAAATACTCGCTTTACTTCTTTCTTGCAAACCTGATAACACAAAGTTCTCCCAAATCCTCCTGTACTCATTTTTTCTCATCATTCAACATCATTACTTTGTTTACATTTACTAAATTTTTCACCATCCATTCAACATCTTACAACTTTTTCCACCTAGCACATACGTCCATCATTCACCCACCGAAACCGGCCACTGACATTCACAACCCGTAAAAGACAAACTGACAAAAACAACCCCTTTAACAAAATAACCCCTCAAAAAATTTCGTTCTCCCCTGTTCTCGCCCACTCCACCGCTCCCATCCCATCTCCGAACAGTAGCTCATCAAGGGTAGTGAGAGTCTCCTTACCCCGCCCCTCCCCTTTCCGCTTGCCGCACACACCAGCGTTACGAATCCAAATTGGGAAGAGGCCCAGGCCCAGAATGATCAAACACTACCGAAGACTACTACTAAAAAAGCAATAATGCACAAAAATCGCCGGAAATGTGCATATAAACGGAGTGAGAGGCATTAAAAAAATAATATGCGTAATTTTCGAATAAAAACAAAACAATATAGCAAAATAGCTTATCTTATACACTGCATTTAGTGCTATTCCTACACACAGAAAAAATAATTTTGGGCCATTTTTGAGAAAATGGCTTTTTAGCATTTTCGAATACTCGGAATTTATCTTCCAATTTGTAGTTGAAGGAAGAAATGTCAAAGGTTCGCAATTTTCGAAAATTCAGAGTTAACAGTGAAAAGAGCACCTATGCCACCAAGATATGAGTATTTCACTCTATTCTTACAAGAAATTTAAAGAAATTTGAAACCCTTTGTGAGGAAATTTTGAAAATGTTCTGGGGGCTTCATGTGAAGTACTCCTAACAATTAAAGAATATTGTTCTAAATCGCACTACTTCGAAAATCGAGAAACCGGGGAGTATTCAGTTTGAAAAAAAAGGTATGCATAGTTTAGGGGCTCGTGTTGTTCACAGACTAACAGAAGTTTTGGAGAAAAAAATCACTTTCTATATCAGTTAGTATATAGATCACTCATTGACTGTAATATAATTCATTCAAAACAAAGAACTTGGTTTCGAAAATACTCTGATTGGCTGCTGAACAATGCAACAAGCACTATTGTTTCAACAGGTTTTACACAAATAAAATTTTTATTTCGAGTTATTTTTAACTATGGTATATTTTGCAACAATGAAAGGTCCTTCGGCACACGCTCGTATTTCCACCAGCGCTCTCCGACTGGAACTGCAGGCGTAAATATGCATCCGCCGTGAGAAACAGAAAGGAAAGTTATTTCAGAACGGCCAACTTTATGCAAAGAATTCATCAAGTGTGCATTTGGAATCAATGAAGATAATATAAAATGAGAACAAATTCTCCAAATCTCATAAACAATGCATTAAATACCACCAATAATGACTGAACGTGTGTACTTTCAATAACATGCGAAGCTCATTAAATTAAGTTACAGCTAGAGTCAGACGAAGACAGAAAATTGGGATTCCGCTCGGGACACGCGTGTTCAAGCGTAGGGCCAAAGAGTAAACGCAGTAATAGAGGCAAGAGCGTGGTGCAATACCTGGGAAGACACCAGACGCTTAAGAGAGGTCCAATTGGACTATCTTTGGTTTCAAAAAATTTCACAGATATCGATATTGCGGCAGTATCTTGAATATAGAATGTCATTAAAACAAGAATGTATATTCCTAACATATTATTAAATATTTTTCGATAATCTAGGAGTTATGCAACCAAAGAACGAGTCACCACTGGAACCAATTATGGAAACGTTTTTGCTTATTGTCGTTTCGCCCTTCATTACACTAAGCTATTTCCATGCCCTGTCCATTTCACTTTCATCTAACCCAATTCCCTGACATTTCACAGAACCCAACCCAACACTGCACTGCACTGCACTGAACTGAACTTAACAAAATGATTATTGTAAATAGCTAATACTAAGTAATAATATGAATATGAACTAAATTATATTCGATCTAATGTATTTCTAAATATTTTTACAGTGCGAGGAAAGGTTTCAAAGTTTTTGTATCTAAGACAACTCTCAAATATCTACAGCAAGAGATCTCTGGTAATACGTCAGAGCCTTTGCAGTACATCTGGTTTTTGTATTACTAAGCATAAAAAATCGTATATATGTATCCAAAAAAATGAAGAATATTAAAAAATGAATAAAACTAGTTTAGGACTACAAGGATGCAGCTTATCTCCAATCGTATTTAACTCGCATAGACGAAATTACTAAAGAATGCATATCTAAATTAAAGTGTTATACTCATGACATGCATTCAGCGCATTTTATTATGACAACTTTTTTTGCAGATCAAGTTATTTTAAATAACAATGAAGACAGACTACAAAAAATTCGGACGCTGGTGGAGAAATTCTAGCGACCGGCTTCTCTAATTGGTAGCTTTCTTTGGTTTCTCCATTCAATTCCGGACGAATACCGGAGTAGTATCCAACAAATGCGTCACGGACCGCGCGCATTCATTTTTATCCTTGTTCTCTCATCTCCCATTACATTTACACTTTCATGCACTACTCTTATCACATGTATCGAGAGTGGAGATTGTCCTGGTTCAGGATATACCTGAAGAAGCAACTCTCGTAAGCCGACTTTTAAATCTGCACCATATCGCATTATCCAGCAGGCGAGGAACACTGCATCCTTGCGGGGTAAAACATTCAGTACTCTAACGAGTCTAATGATTACAGTAGCTTACGCCCCCCGAAACATTAATTTGATTAATCAAGCAATCAAACTTCGGTCCGAAATAAACGTAGTGAGCGCAGTTAACTACGCTACGTAAAGTGACGGAAGTTAAGCAAACTCGGCCCACCACGGATTCCCGATCTGGTAACAGACTGGGAATCCAGGTTACTGACGCCCCGAAGCTCCTGCCGAAGGGGATAAAAGGGGTATTACTTGCGACATGAGTCGACAAAACACTACCGGAGGATTACTCTAGAGCTTATTCGCTGGACGCCCCGAAGGGACGTGTTGCGAGCGAGCGTGCGTCGTGCGGCAGGGGTGCGGCCGTCTCTGGCCGAGGTGGAGCAGCTGGAGGCGTGGACGTCGGCGCTGGCGGAGGCGGAGGCGGCGGCGGCTGCGACGGCGCCGCAGCGGCTGGCGCCGGGCGACCGCGTGGCCGTGTGCGCGGGTGAGCTGATCGGGCTGAGCGGGCAGGTGGCGCGCGTGGACGGCGTGGGCAGCGGCGCCGTCGTCACCGTCGCACCCCACCACCCCGACCTCAAGGCGAGTCTCTGCCCGTACCCGGGGCTGATACAGCGCGTACTTTCTCGCATTATTGGTTACTTTTGCGGTTTTCGAAAATGTAGAGAGTTCATCGAAAGTGAGACCGGCGCCATGTTTTCAAGCGACATTACAACTTTCCGAAAAAGAAATATATAATTTATTATTATTAATAATAATATTAAGAAAAATTATACGTTCCCTTCATTTCGAGCTCGAACTACATAGAAACTACTGGCTTTTTATCTAAAAAATTGACCATGACTTAAAGATTAATGTTTTACATTGAGAGAAATGTTGTACAATAAACATGTGTAGTAAGCGATCATATAGTAAATGTAATTATTGTGTGGTAAGGTTCACTAAACATGATTTAGTTTCGATTAAATCAGACAATTGAGAATCGTAAGTAAATGAACAAAGAATTGTCACTGGTTGTTTCGTAGATAAATTCAATCGGTGAGACCTTCGTTTCATGTCACACTACTAAATATTAGTTAGTAAGCGTGCGTTCTCAGAAATTTATAAATTCGAATGGTTGTAGAGCCTATGTGAACTGTGAGTAATCAACGCTGTTCATACTAGTGTAAACGACGTTTTTAGAAAATTGTTTTAATATTGATTTTATTATTTTCAATTTGATTGATAGTAGGCCAGTAGTTTGACGAGCCTCCTCCAAGAGCGCTGAAACTATAGGGACAGCCATTCTATTTAGTATATTCCAGCTCGTTGCAATTTAAGCCCGGCGTCTTCACGCAGCTACAATATTTAAGATAAAGATTATTTCATTCTGACTAAAATCTGATTTTCACAGATAAATAAGATAAAGAACAATTTTTGAAAATATTAAAAAAAAACATTGTTGAGGTTAGAGCGTAGGCTTCCGCGGCCGGAGTCAGTATTTACTAGGCTGTCCGAGTGACGCCGCGACCATGGCGAAGGTGCCGACGTTTCGGTCGCCATTCTGCGACCTTTCTCAGGGCGTAATGCATTATGCGTAGGGCATTACGCCCTGAGGAAGGTCGCAGAATGGCGACCGAAACGTTGGCACCTTCGCCATGGTCGCGGCGTCACCCGGACAGCCTAGTACATATTGTTGAGGCCGTGTGCGCAGATCCCCCTGGAGTTCCTGGCGGGCGAGCTCCGCAAGGAGTTCTGCGCCGGGGACCACGCGGAGGTGATCGCTGGCGACCTCGCGGGTCAGTCGGGCTTCGTGGTGCGCGTGGAGGAGAACCGCGTGGTGCTGCTCTCGGACAGCGCCTGCCAGGAGATCGAGGTGCTGCCCCAGGACCTGCAGAAGAGCTGCGGCACCGTCACCGCCGTCGCCCCCGTCTCCTCCTTCCAGTGGGGAGATGTGGTACAGCTGGAGTGAGTCGCCGGTCGGGCTTTAAATAACATTCACTGCGGGTGAAAGAACGTTTGACATCAATACTATGCCCTCGAAACCAGTCCGCGAGTACAATACGATATTGAATAGAAATACTGCGTAGTATTTACTCCTACTGATGGTTCCGAATTCTGCATTCTAGAGAGAGGATGTTTTCAACGGGGTGCAGGAATAACGATAAAGCAATGGGCTCCATTGAATTGTTTCTCAGATTCCGATGAAACTATATGAAAAATGAGCATGAGATTCTGAGTAAATCTGTTTTGCAATCATCCGATCATCCTTGATTTCTGATGTGATTTTCAAAAAGTGGGATGTAAGTAATTCGTAGTAAATGCTAGAAAGCGGAGAAATACAGAATTAATTTTATAGAGAGACGAATTCCTGGAACAAATAATGGCAAACTTGTATTTGAGATGTTCTGCTTCATCATAAAAATGTAAGAAAAGGTAATAAAATGAAACTAAATATGTAGTAATAGGTAAAATATCTAAATAAAATAAAATTGAATTACTCCACCCAGAATCTCTTACAAACTAAAAAAGCAATATTGTTCATGTAAAAAAATTTACATGTGAATCCGTTTAGTAGTTAGACCTATTATCGTTTTTGAAATATTTTATTTTTTGTATGCTGCAAACATAGGGTCTAATTCCTAGGTAAAACAATTTTTATACCCTTTCAAAAGCGAAAACTACAAGGTGCGCGTTGACTACTGTGACTTTTCAAATCAGGATTGCTCACATTTATTTCAAAACAAGATTCACCTCATGGAAACTTTCGTGCATCACATACCCCCATTGGAAAAACGATATGTAATATTTCCTTCACCGTCTTCAACACTGAAATTTCGTATGGTTCTGACGATGTTGTATTAATTTGTCAAAATGGTAAAATATTCCATGAAAAATCATTTTATGTGAATTTTTGAAAGAGGTCTCTTGAAAAATTAATAAAAGTAGTCCTACACAATTCATTTACAATATGCAGAGGGGTTCTGAAATTCTATTATAACTTTTAATTCTTAAAAACATATTTTACCATATATATGAACTTTAGAAACGTTTAAATTTCAATAGTTTTAAGCTTGTTTATGACAATTCTTACAAATGAGCAATACGAAATTTGGCTCTTATAAAAGTATACCTCTACTTGTATTTGTGAATTCCCTGAAAGTTTTACTGAGTTTCTTCAAAATATTGTTTTGTTTAATCACGTTTTTGAAATTCTAAAATCTCAATTTGTTCGTTTTTTC